CTGTGAAGGTGTAGCCAGGAAGGTAGAAAGAAAACTACAAGTTCCACTTAGGATGCTTTCCCCAGCTTTTAGGAAAGCCATGGTCCCTTGGGCAGTGTACCTCCTCTCTCCATGGCCTCTTTGTTCATAACGAGGGTGTATTCATAAATGCCCCCAAGCACGGCCTCTGTGATGTAGTGGGTCCCAAAATCACGGAAGAGATCTCTGTATTCCCCGTAGCTGTACTCCAGGGGCAGCCGCTTAACTCTCTGAAGGAACTCGTAATGGAGCATGAGGCTTCTGGGTTTCAGCTTGTAATGTGCTACTTCAAGGTCAGAGCGTGCATGCAGAAATACGCTTTTCTAAATGAAATACCAACATGGGAAAACCAGACCTTTAAAGTTAGGAACCTGGAACAAGAAGATGAACTTTACAAATACCATCCGATGTTCTTGGCCCGGGGTCATCACTCTTATGATTCCTTTAGGATACTTGAGAGAAGACAGCCTCTTTGACAAGCTTTCAATGCTCATAAATATTCTGACATCCTGTTCAGCTTGGAAGAGCTTGCTCTTAACTCACCTCTTTACTGAAGAGAATAAGGACTGGGAAGGGTAACAGAAGCAGGCATGGCAGGGAGCAACTGGAGGGCATGGGACCTCTCTGATGGGACCTCTCTGATGGGACATAGGATTTGCTAACCTGCAAAAGTGCCCACTTTGCTGATACCTTGTAAACTCTGAAAAAAAGCCACACAAGAAAGAGTAAAAGTGGTGCTTTAGGAAAACCAGCAATGACAGCGTATGGCAGGAGTCAGCAAAATACAAGCCTCATACCAAACCCAGTGCCTGTACTTGTAAATAAAGTTTTATTGGAACACAACTGCATCCATTTATTTACATATGGTTTACAACTGGTGTCACACTCCAATGGCAGCGTTGAATAGTTGCAACAGAGACCTTGCAGTCTCACAAAGCCTAAAATAATTTATTATCTGGCCCTTTACAGAAAAAGTTTGGTGACTCTCCGTGTATGGAATAGACTGAAAGTTGTTGATGCCTGATGAAGTATAAACATCTAGAAAGTGTTAGTACAACCCTAGGTGAGCATTCCCTATACTACTGTACAGGAAGAGAAAAAGAGGAAGGTGGCAAATGCCTGTGAGATATGTTCCGCCTAATCCTAAATCCTTCAGCTCAACAAAGCCATGCCAACTCTGCTGGTGCCTATTGCCCTGAGGCCTCATTTTGTCTCCTAGCTTGCTCTCGCCCCATTCTAGTCCTGCCTCAGTGACCTATGACCCTCTCCCTTCTCCCTTACCCTTCCTAAATAAGCAGTCACTAGGTACTCTGTTCATTATTTTTCTGAGTATTTTAGGTTGCGTCTCCTTTTGCTTGCATCATTATAAAAGCCTCCTCCCTAATCTCCTTCCTTTCTCTAGCCTCCTTCAATGCCCCAATCAGAGTTGACACCCTAAAATTCAGATCGCATTATGACAATGCTTCTCTTAGCTTAAAGCAAAACCTTGCATGGCTTGCTGTTGCCTTCAGAATAAAATTAGCTCCCTTACTCTGAGTGTAAGACCATCACAATTTGTCCTCCAGTAGCCTCTCTGGCTTCAGCTTCTACACCCCTGAAGTTTTCCTCTCCATACTTTGCTACTTGCTACCAACCACGTATGT